ACCGCGTGCACCGCGCGTGGCTAGGCAGAGGTAGGCGCAGACCTGCGATTATAGACCTCGCTCTACAGGGTGTTACTGACCCAGCTTTGGAAGCTCATGCAGAAGTAGCGCGCCTGTGGGCAGTCTCTCGTTGGAGCCGCGTATTACCCGAGGGCTTCATTGACGCGGTCCTCTATCGAGCTCGCGACGCCGCTTCGCGTGGCGCCCCTTGGACAGACCTGCAGGGGCCAGGCCAGATATCGGTTGCCACATTACTCAGGACTGGGCGGTCTGGTGGCACCCCGACCCAATGGCAGAATTGTCTTGGGATGGATCTGTTTATTGCGACTACTGCGCCGCGTGGCCTGGCTTCCCTCGCGACCCGCGATGCCTGCGCTTGGGCGCGGAAGCAAGCCTCTGAGCGTCGCCCATCCTTCGGCGATTTGTCGTGCCCTCCTTTCCTGCCTCCCCTCCGCCCCCTTCTGTCCAAGAAGACCGAGGGATGGGGCTGTGCCAGCTGGCCCCGGCGGGCCGTGTTTTTCACACCTTATATGAATGTGATGCTCTTAGTGATTGCCGCCGCTGGTTCGGCCCGGCGCAGGCCCTCACGCGCTGCCCCGGTCAGCGCCGAGATCACCCTGTCTGGGCCACAGCGCTCGTTCCTGACCCGTGTTATAGTTTTCCTGTTTCGCCTCTTTTCCCTGGCCCTGCCTGGGACCGCGCCGCTGATGGCCCCCTTTTCTCGTCGCCCGCGCACGGAGACGGCTCGGGAAATTTTGGGCCGTCGCCTCTCGCGCTGCGACGTGGATGGAGCGTCTGTTCTTTTGCTCCGAGGCGCCGGAACGTCTTTGGCGAGCCTGCTGCACGCAACCCTCCTACGTTGAACGATGCAGCATATGGTTTCCTGCCTAGTTTTGTTCAGGACGTTCCAGGGGCCGAGCTCGATGCTCTCTTGTTGTACCTCGCCCATGCTGCCCCGTCTTATGAGTACGCTACTGACTGCCAGTATGTGGCCGATGTTTGGGCCCTCGGCTACGAAGCCCGCACCCATGGTTGGGCTAAGCGCTGCCCCCTATGGGCTCAAGTCCACCTTCGATCGACTGATATAGGTAATCAGTCAATTCGAGTCACCAATGGTCGCGAGGGTGATCGTGGCGATATGCGCGGCGCTGGGAATCGACAGGCAGACCGACTGGCCAAACTAGGTGCAGATTTACATGTCCATGACACTGTGCAGCAGGATCGCATCAAATGGTCTGATACCTTGGTCAGACATCTAGGATGTTACATAGGGCGCTGCATTGCATGGATTCTCAAGAGTGTTCCCAAGAAGGTTCGGGCTGCCGGTTCTGATGAGACCCAGACACCAGCTCCCCCCCCCTCTCATGTGTCGGGATATGTTGCTGGAGCTATGCATGAGAATGTCTGCGGCCCTTCCATCGGACGTTCTAGGTGCGTGAATTGTTGGGCTAGCTCGGCTTCTAAGAGCTACCCTTTGCTTTCCCATGCCCCTTCACATGCGGGGGGTGGGGGTGGTGGTGGTGGTGGGGGGGGGGCGCTGTCTTCGGAGGCTGCGGGACATAATGTTCTGCCGCCGCCGTGGGCGTCACTCTAGAAACATTGTCAAATACTTACTTTGGAATTGTACTGGGCCCCCTCGGGCCAAGGGCACACTGTCTCGCCTAAGGCTCGCGCGTGATAGACACGATCCACGCGCTAAGTGCCCAATCGGAGATGTTTGTGCAGTTGATTGTGCCAGTGTCATGTATGTTCCCCCCTTACCCCGCGATGTTTCAGATCTTCCAGGCCCTTTTCGACCCGGAATGGCTGCTGCAGCCGCTGTTGGAGCCCGATGATTAGTTCGGGCATTGATACAGAGGGGTGGGATAGCTTGCGCACTTATCGACCGTGCTGCGGGTGTCTCTTGGATGCCCGACACCAAACCCGACGCCATTTCAAGTTCTGTCAACATGTGTTCATGATGTGTTGTAACTGCCGTAGCCCAGGCTCGCCAAGCGATGACGAGGCAACCTGCGTCTCTCCCCGCTGCGCGCCGCGGGCCACCTCTTTCAGTCAATTTCGCCAGCCCGTAGAGGCTGCCTGACTGCAAGGATGTCGCAAGCATTGAGGCGCAATGGAAGCGAGCGCCCGCGCCGCCTGCGCTAGTGGAAGCCTTGTCTCTGCTCAGTTATCCCATGTGCTGTGCAGGCTCGCCGAGAGAGAAGAGGCCAGGCCAGCTTCTCTCTTTTGTTTTGCGGGCCTGGCCGTTCCCTTCGCCGCTCTCTCATGGGGCGACATCTTCAACCTTTCCCCCGTCCTTGAGACTGTCTGACTGCGAGGCCCCCCAAGCATCAGGGCGCGATTGGTGCGAGCACCCGCGCCGCTTGCGCCTGGGAAACCTCGCGCAGCTCTGACGTGCCCTTCCGCCCCGCCAAGGCTCACAAAGAGAAGAAGAGCTCTGCTGCCGCCTGGGGGGAGGGTTTGAACGCGAGCACGCGGATGCCCGGGGGGGGGGGGGGGG